GTGCTCGAACCACTGCGTATAATCGCGTATATAAATGGTGAAAGCACCGCGTATAATACTGGAACCACCGCGTATAATGGCGAAAGCACCGTGTATAATGCCAAAAGCACCGCCGTATAATGCTAAAAGCACCCAACAAAATGCCGTTTGATCACTTTAAGCCAGCTATGGCTTTCCATAAAAGAAGACCAAAGATGAAACATGATCACATTGCCTATGCCTGGCTTATGCCTGACCGCGCTGCACCACGGTTAAAATTCACTGGTACCGTCATGCAATGCGCCAAATAGAAAATTTTGATTTCGACCCACAAAACAAAATTAGGATCTGCTGCCTTGCTCGCTCGCTTCAGGCTCGCTCGCTGCGGCAGCAAATATTTATTAGAAAGCTAACGTTTCGTTTTTAACTTAAGACATCTTCAGAACAATGACATACGATACTAACATTGTGATTGTCAAACCAGATAAAGAGAATGGGGTAGTTATTCTTGACAAGGACGACTACAAGAAAATGGAAGCCATACTGGAAGATGAAACCAAATTTCAACGCCTAGACGAAGACCTGGTAAAACTGACGTTACAAAGCGAGAACAAAGTCATGAGGTTCCTGTCGACGTTAAAGAAATCAGAATCAATCACGCAAGCAACCTATGAAAAACTATATCCGCCTGGTTCTCGGGTAGGAATTTTATTCGTACTACCTAAAATCCACAAGGACAATATACCACTTAGGCCTATTCTTTGTTGTATAAACAATTATTCCTGTAAAATCGCTAAATATTTTATCCCTCTCCTCAATCCCATTTCGTCAAGTGCTTATATGGTTAAGGATTCTTTCTCGTTTGTCCAGGAATTATTCAGCCTCAATTTCGATTCCAACAACGTTGTCATGGCAAGCTTTGATGTGACTTCCTTATTTACCAACATTCCTGTAGATGAAACCATTGACATAATTTCAAACCGCTTATTCTCTCTTTATTATCTCGCTTATTCTTTTGCTGTTTTTGGTCATTCTTGTTTTGTTATGCATGGTACATGGCTATATATATGCTAAAACAGCTCAACATTTCGCATTTCGGTGAATATGCGCCACCACTTCGACAAATAATTGTTAAATATCGGTGATTTAAGCATTACAAACCTCACTCCCGTACATGGTTAGGTTCATAATCTGAACGTCGCATGTGATAAATATTAATGTTGTAAAACACATGTCAAGCTGGTTTGGAAAATAAACATGACTGTACATGACAACCCACTCATATAACTATTTAAATTCCATAGAAGATCGAGTGAAACCGACACCCATGCATGCAACAATACCTTCATGATCTTCCCCTGTTTGCCTTTACTTTTTGAGCCACAATTGATTCTCCACGCATGCATGCATGTACTGTATACATTTCAGTGTTCCCAACTACCTAACCAACCCTATACACATGCGGAAGAAGTATGGCCGAAGTGGCCAGGTGAAATGTATATCTTTGTTTCCTATTTTGTTTTTGACAAAAAGTTGTTGTAATTAGTTCACTACAATATATAATACCTGGATGTTCTGTGGAAGTAAACTTGATTTTCTTCCTTCTCTCCAAGATTCTTTTTGGTGCTCTTTAGAACTTGTTACATCCAAAATATTTCGCTGAATAAGCTTTGTCTTGCGTCCACCAATTCCTGTCGTATCACCTGGAATTGTATATTTTTTATTCGTGTGGTTAATGGTATTATGGCTCAATACTTACTCGGACCTATACAGAGCAGTAAATGTTTTAAATTAAAAAACATCATTAAGTCAAATTACGTAGAAAACCTAGACTATATATACTAACACATCTAAGTAGCTACATAAATAACACCTTCTGAATCGCAATCAAATTATCCAGCATATTCTTTCCATATACAAATTTTTCGTTTTCCTCTACATGCATAACAGCTAGCTGCAAATCTGGTATCTATAGGGTTACCACACATTTTCATACCCTTTATACTTTACCTCCTACCCCCTTTACTTTAGATCTTACTAAATTATCCGCTAAATTTCGAGGTCTTCTAAATGAAATCAAAGGCTTCTTATCACTACAGACTTCTTTCATGTCATCCGAAGTCTGCAGCACAGGCTATGTATATACAATTTAACAATTAATCCCACCCCCAAATGTTTTTATATAAGCACGTATTGTTCAACTCACATTGAATTTTGGCCGGTGGTGGATCTTTTCGAAAAATATAAAGAAACCATATATCAATCGAATTTGGGTTTTCTCAACGAATATTAACAAGAAATCCTCTTCGCTAATTGATCACAATATTTCACATTGCAGAAATTTTTCGAGGCTATTGCGCCAAGCATACGTCCAAGTAAGTCGCATTTTAATAAACTGGCCAGAGAGTAAAATGTGTTGACAGCTCACATGCGCAGCAGTTACTTGAATAAAATGTTGTGAAAAACTCATAAAATTATCGAAATGACAAAGAATAGTACATGTTAAGGCCAAACTACAACTTTTGTCTACTTAGTTGCAGCAGCGAAACAACAGCCTGACGCAGGTAATATTTAACTTTAAAAATAACCTTGTTAACCCATCGAGTCGCATTGCACCCTGATGCACCCTACTTTAGTATTTTACTCTGTCTAACGCCAGACGATTTTACTCGTCAAGGGGAGAGCGCTGGCGCTTAATGGGTTAACTGGCCTATCTGCCCTTGTGTCTAGTTAACCTATTGAGTCGCATTGTACCCTAATGCACCCTACTTTAGTATTTTACTCTGTGTAATGCCAGACGATTTTACTCGTCAAGAGGAGAG